CCCCCCTTTTTTTCCCCTTTTCTTTTTTGTAAAAATTTTTTTTTGACCAAAAAAAAAAAAAAAAAAAAAAAAAAAAAAAAAATATGCAGAGAATCCAGCAGCTTGTTTTGACAAATCACAGTTCTGTTTTCTTCTCTGATCAGCTTGTTAACACATACGGTGGCTGATTAGAACCATTTCTAATCCATGTTTTTGACTCATCTTAAAATAAAAGCCAAAGTAAATCAAATTCAGGAAATTTTCTTTAGAGATGCAACAGGAAAATTTTTTAATAGTTTAAAAGGTAATTCCATTCATTTGGGAGATATTACAACATTTTGACAAGGGTTGAACAAAAAAAGGGCCAAAGAGAAAAAACAAACAAAAAATAATTAACTTAGCTAAAAAAAAAATTGCCAATGAGAAGTTGTTTTTATGGCAATAGATGTTTTTATGGTTGTTCTTACTGGCTTAGAGAAGAAATCATTTGTCTGCAAATGTTTCTATTGATTTTTGACAGTGTTAATTTTTAATGTTTTTGTTGTGAATATTGCCACTCTTGACCAGGATTCTCTTATAAAATCTCAGTGGGATTTTACTGGCAAAATAGAGATTCAATAAGTAAATGAAAATAAAATGTAAGAAATATTGAGTTGAGTATTCACCATCTCCTGGAATGTTTGTGGAGGAAGTCAGACACCAAGTTTTATATTGTTGGCCATCTGTGTTGTAAAGCATGTAGAGGGAAGCATCATGCTGAGGGAAGGGCTGAAGGCAGATTGGGTTTGATGAGATGGAAGAAAAAACAACAAAAATAATGAATTTCATGCCAAAAAACATGTTAAGTGAACTGAATGGAATCTGAACCTGGGACTTGTCCTGCTTTTCTATAAGACACGAGTGTAATCTTCCCACTGTGCAAAGAAACATCAGCTGGAGGTCTCAGAATCCCCTGGAAGGATCATATATCCGTTCTGGTTGATGGGAACAGAGGGATGTCTGGATTAAATATGTTGTTTCAAATTATTTTCAGGTAAATAATCTGAAATTATACAAAAATGCACGGTTCATTCGTATATATACATTTTTATTGCATGAAACCTTTAAAACAACAAACTGCACACGCTGAAGAAATTCAAATTTCCTGAAAAACTTTCCATTCTGAGAAAAGGTTTATAGCTTGTGATGCATCACAGAAGTAAGCAAAGTCCCAAAGCTGTGTTTAGAAGTACAGGATAATAAAAACACTTTGTTACAGATCAATTATTTTAGCTGTGGTTTTAATACACAAACATGAACTATCATCTTTGTGTGAGGAAATATTAGAAACACTGATCCCCCAATCAGGCATTTCAAAATGTTTACATATTTCAAAGTAAAAATGTGCATTTAAAAACAAGGAAACCTTTTAAATTTGAACTATACAGGTACTTGGGCTATATTTTCTATTATTCATGGAGGATACATGTACAGTTCAAACAAGATATTTACATGGACCGTATAAAAAGACAACTTTTTCTCACTGACATCAAATCAGACTAAACCGTTCCTGTTTTATTTTTGATATTATTTCCACTAGAATGATCAAAATTAAGGAATATTTTTAAATAACACTTTTACTACTTTCTTTAAAATAATACATTTACAGCTACGGCAATTGTTTTGCCTTTAAACAGTTTGTGAAAGTTCAACATTTAATTTAAAATCGCTGAAATGAGTCCTGTACAGACATTCAGATCAAAGGGAAAGGACTTTAAATCAGGAAAAAAATGGTTTTTTGATCAAATTAAGATGAAAGTGTTAGCCATAATAAACATTACTAAATTTGAAGGGGAAAAATGTCGTAAAAAGGAGTGTAGAAGTGGCAGCATCATGTCTGGTGGGACAGGTGCAATTTACAAAATAGACACCAAGTTAAAAATCTGGATGCAAACAGGTCTGCCAAATGCTTAATTAGTTTCAAAGTGACTAAAGGACAATGAATCAATGAATTGGAGATTGCATCTCTAAGTTACAAAGAAAATATGTAGATAGAATTGGAAACAAGGGTGTGAGAACAAAATTTACCAAACCGATTCAGACAATTTCTGACAGGAGAAATGGACAAAAATTCCAGCAAACTTTGGTGAGATGTTTGTGGAAGGAAATCAAGAATGTTGGAACCAATCATATGGTTAAAAAAAAACACTTTTACCAATTACTGGTAACAAGTATACATCTATGAAGAAAGTAAAAAATATATATGTTACTCCTTATTCTGCAATTTAGCATTTAGAAAAAATTAGTAATCCTGACTGACCTAGTAAAAAATTATATAATTTAATGAAAAAAAAAAAAGTTGTCTTTTTATACTGTATGTAAAGATCTGGTTTTAACTGTATTTAAAAATGTATTCTCCAGGGTTTTTAAAGTAAGAAATATAAATCATTAGATGATAAAAAAAATGAAAAAAGAAAACATTTTTATCCATCTCTTTGGATGGAAGAAAACCAAGAATCAGAGCCAGTTTCCTGATATTCAGTGTGTGAAAACATTTAAATTATAGCAGAGCTCTTCTTTTCTGTACAGATGACTGTTGAGCCTCTCATATGATCAGTCAACCCCAGTTCATGTGGGTCTCCCTCTGCATTTTATTTCATTTTAGAAGACCAGTCTGCTAATGGTGTTGAAGCCTCCCCCTCCTCCTCCTCCTCCTCCTCCAGATGGGCCGCAGCTCCCTGGTGGGTTGTTGTCATCTGAACCGTTTGGCCTGAATGAGCAGGAAGACGAAGACGCCTGAAGAGCCTGGGTCCGAGCGCTGAGCTCCTGCTCCTGTTGATCACCAAGGAGACAGACAAATATTTTACCAAGCTTGATTAAGTTTAAAACGCACCCTGGAAATACGGACAAATAAACTCTTTAAGAAACAGAGCAGGCATTCCAATGGACATCACGTTGTTATAGCTCCCTCTAGAGGAGATGCATCGAAGTTATTTACACAAACTCGGTGGAGTTTCAGTTTAACACACCACAGCTCAGTGAGTTGTGAAATTACACCTCACATTTTTGAGTAGAAGAGTCTGAATTTCACTCGAGGAGTACCAGAATACATAAATCAATCTAGTCTGCGGCTCAGTCTCTGTTTGCTACGTTCCACCTGGATTAATCCTCCACTTTAATGATAAAATCTTACTTGTGAAGAGAAACGGAAATGATGTTTTAAGTCGATTGTGTGTTGAAAATGAAAAGTAAGCAGTTGTTCCAAAAACATGCCCACAAACTTCTAAATCAGTGGTAAGAATAATTACAGCTCACTTCACACTTACACTTTCTTGCATATGTAATCAAACTCATTGAGCTTTTTCCCCTCCACAGTTTTTCACTCAGCATCATAAAGCAGTGCAAAGTTATGAAGTGGAAGATAAATGACCCGTTTTCAGTTTCTTTTTTACAAATACAAGTCTGATGAGTGTGGGATAGATTCCAATTCAAACCACATTTTCACAGACTCCCCTTCAATCTCCCCTATTTATTCTGGCTAAGCATGTGCTATCTCCTAAGAAAGAGCATGAACAAAAATGTAAGTGTGTACATGTGCAAAGATGATGGAAGCAAACATTTAAAAATGTAAATATGTAGTGGCAGTATAGGAGGAGTGTTTATTTGGAGGCACCAAATACAAATACACGCAAATTCTGGAAAACGTGCAAAACTTCCCTTATCCTTTATGCTTTGATTTGATCAACAAAACAAAATCCCAGGGTTGGGCAACAAATCAACACCGTTATATATCGAGATTTACATGTGATCAGTACCAATAAAAAAGATGTCAGAATGTTCAGTAATTTCACTAAACTCCGATCCAGAACTGCATAGCATTCTGGGAGATGTAGTTGTAGGAAAGGCTTTAGCTGCTAGCCATGCTAACCTCTCAGGCGTTGCTGACATCAACTGACTCACTCACTGTTTGGTTACATAGCAACTCACTCACTCTGTTGTTACCTAGCAATAACTTGTTGAGTAACTTGCATAGGAGCAGTTTCAGGTATCGCCACCGTGCCTCATAACCGCTTAAAAGAAAAAACAATGGCGTGCAGTGAAGGGAGAAAATGAGTCCAACAGCTCGAAAGGAAACTGTGGACAAAACAGGAAAGGTCACGACACAGGTTTGGCAGCATTTCAGATACTTAAAACAACAAAACTAATTGACAATTATCGGTATCGGCTGATGTTGTGATAGGTTTTTCAGCCATGTTGCCCAACTCTACAAAATCCCTATAAAATACGTCAAAATGTGAGTTTGCAACTAGGGCAGTTGTAAATGATTATTGATAGTATTCTGATGGTTAATTGAGCTATTGAATAAAAAAATATTGTCCTGTTCTGTAAAAGCTACTTAAGCTAGTAAAAGAAATATATGAAAGAGAACTGCTAGTAAAAAAAACAGTACAGTTAACTTTTAATAAGAAAACTTACTACGTAAAATTTTAAATGTTTCAAAAGTCAAGTTTAGTCTCAAGTTTGATGTATGGAAAAACTGTTTTAAAGTGCAAAAACATATGAGAAATAAAACATTTCAAATTAATCTTTAAAAATTAAAAAACTAACTTAAACTGAGAAATTAGTAACAAATGCCTTTTATTTTACACTTCACTTTTAGTCTCAAGTTTGAAGTATGAAAAAACTTTTATAAAACAGGTTTCTCTCTAGATCACTTTTGATCAGGAAGTAGCTACATGCATTTCCTTGAACATGTACCACATGCTAGATTCTACTAACAATCACAGATAAGTTAAAATAAGTTTGTGTTTTTCTTAAGGAACATAAATGTCACCAGTCAGCAGGCACAAGTGAGCTCAATGCATGTAATGGATGTTTCCTGCTGGGATGTTGGAGGATGGAGCATCGAGGCTCTGCTTTGTGAAACACCAATTCTGTTTTACAGTAAACGTGCTGAGCTATGTGTTTGTTTCTATTTAGTTTAAAGTGATCTGACATTTTGTGTCTCCCTTGGCGGCGCTTCTTTCTGACCCTCGCCTTCTCCCTCCATAGCACTTAGGATTCGTCAACAGTTTATTGCGGAAGCGAGAGTGTTGCGCAACACAAATATTGGAAATGAATAATAAAACATAATTTATAGCTGCAGTACATAACTTTTATGAATGTTTTTATATATGTTTTATATTAGTTTTAACAAATATGTAAAAAAAAAAAAAAAACTATCACCAGGTCGTGGCGGCATAAAATGAGATAGATAATCTGAAAAGGTCAAGCTCCTCCACTTCCTCCCTGTGCCGCTACTGCCATCTGAAGAAATGCACCGCTTCCGACCAAAAACAACCAATCAGAGCCAGTGCTGTCAATCAACCACATGAACATGTTGCTAAATGTGCTGATAGAGGAGAAACAACTTACAGTTACAGGAAAACTGTTTATCGGCCGTCGTCGTTGATCATGCTAACTAGGTATTAGCATTCATGACAGAGAGACGCTCTATCGTAGCAGAGAGCAATGGTGCATAAATGGGTCTGATTAACAGCGATAAGACCCTCTTCCTGGCTCTGATTGGCTATTTCTAGTTAATACTAGAAGGCAGAGGAGCTCAATTATTTTCCACAGATTATCTCTCATTCCATACTTACAAATATGTCAAAAACATATTTTATAAAAGATGCATACTGCAGCTTTA